TCAGCACTGTCCAAAACCAAGGGACCTTAGTAATAATAAAGACTTTTGAGGGTAGTTTGATGGCGCCGCTGGTGAGTCCTATTTCTTTTCTTTCCCTGTCTAGTTTCTAGATGTCTTACTTTTTCACAGCTCTAACCGACTGTTGTGTCGATGTGTTTTCTTTATTCAGACTCAAACACAATGATTGGTCCCCACAGTATCTACAATTAGCTCAAACTCAAACGTGTGTGATTAACGGGTGCCCTGGTGTAGTTTGCTCCTTCTTTCCTATCAAATAACAAACATCCTTATCTCTCCTTGTTCTGTTTGTGTTTGATACTCTCTTTTAATACCTTTAATCTTGGGAACTTATGTGACCTTATTGTGTTACAAGTGCAGTAAAATCTTACTGAGTTAAAAATTAAAAACAAAAACAAAAAAAAACAAAAACAATTCAAACCAAACTCAAACTCCCCAGGGTATGCTGAAAAACGTTGTGCGGGCACCCATGTCGTTCTTTGACACAACACCTGGTGGGCGTATCGTCAACCGATTCTCCCGTGACGTGGAGATCACAGACAACATGCTCCCGGGCACCATGAGACAGGTAGGCTGGGAAGAGAGTGGGGATGCGGAGTTTTCAGCTGCCTTGATAAAAATGAGTACTTGCGATGAGCAAACACTTAACTTCATTCAAATTAATATCGATTTAGTACAGAACTTTAGGGAGAAAAATCAGCTTAAATACAATAGCAGTTCGCCTTACTGATTAGCTTTTCCCCCCAGAAATAGGTGGTCTCGTTATTCCATGAGAAAGAAAAGAGAAGAGTACAATTCCGATAATACTGTTAACCGGGTTATATTCAAAATCTCCTCAGCATAAACATTTTCCCATCACCCCTGTAGAATAGTGAGAGACTCACTTTTCCCTGGAATCCAAACGTATTACCGATATCTCTCTTTTAGAGTACATCAAGATCGAAAGGGATGGAAGCTGTACTTGGGCAATCTTTTTCCTCTGTGTCTTGGGCCCAGGCAAAGCTGCTTTAAGATTGTCTGTCAAGGCCAAAAAACCTTAGACTATTGCACTGCCAGATTATATCTACATTGTTATAGCAATAGGAACAATAACGCAAAAAAGATACCAAATAACCTGTGGGACTAGTGTCCAAATTGTTGTGCCACAGAGCAAGGCGTTTTCAAATGTTTTTCTCAAACTCGGCCTTAATTTGCACAGGTATTTCGGGCAAAGTACATTTCTCCTGGAAAGATTGCATATCTTCATAGCCCTGCATTCTAGAAAACGTAAGCTTTTCCGCAAGCAGCGAAGCCTTTGTGAAACTGTTGATAGTAATATGATTGTAAGTGATGCAATATTAGGTGTGGCACGACGTGGTGGAATCGTCAATTTTTGGGCAAGTGGAGTAATTGGTATCTTCTGATTTGTTCATTTGTCTGCTTTTTATAAGATTTCAACCCATAAATCGTAAATATAAGTCAAGATATTTTCAATTGAAGAAGATTGTATGGCCTGGTTTCAGAGGTAAAATCAGCGAAATAATGAGAGTCCTTGGAACCTGAAAATTAACCATTTTTTGTGCCTTTAGTTAACGTTTTTCAGTAAAAATCCCACAGAAATGTGTTTTTAAATGGACATAAAAGGTGTTAGGCCCCCAAAAATGTAGTAAAAATTGCCAAACGGGCGGTAAAAAAGCCGTTTTCTTCGATTTCATTATTTTGGTGAGCGCCTGATTTCACCACGATGCCTAGTATACTTTCAGAGGTTCCGTAACATGCCATTGTAAGATACACTATTTTTATGCCACTTCGTGTTAACTCTTTACACATCAGGAAACAACAACACTTAAAAGACTGTTTTACACAGTATTAACCCTGTCACCTCTCAGAAATGAGTCCTTTTTATCCCTTCACCTCCAGGTTTTGAACTGCGCAGGTCGTGTTCTGACGACTATCATCACTATCAGCTACGGCACGCCCATTTTCCTAAGCGTCATGGTACCATTGGCTATACTTTACGTTCTCATACAGGTAAGGAATTACAGTAGCCAGGAGATGTTAAAGATCTTGTCAGTTTTCTATGTGTTTGAGTACACAATCAGCTGTGTGTATTCTATGCTTCCCTGGACGCTTAGAATGTTTATGTCAAGGGTCTGCTTGAGGAAACTGCAAAGCGTTTAGAGCATGCTGTAGAGTATGTATATGCGTTATATAAATGCAATGATTCATTATTGATTACGGTTAATAAGGGGCAGAGACATACGCAGAACCTCAAAAAGTGAGGCTTCCAAGATCAGAATCTGGGGACAACCCAGAGAGAATAATAAATATTGTTAGACAACACTATCGGTCACATAACTTTACTCACACGGCAAGTACACTACGGTTTTTCTCTAATGCAGTTCACCAGCGCCTGTGACATAGCGATTATTGAAAGGGGAAATTGTGTGTGTGTGGGGGGGGGGGGGGTATTTGTTTTGTTGTTTTTTTTAATCGAGTACCAAAATAGTCCTTGGTCTGGACAAACGTAAACAAAACAAAGAAAACCCCCGAGTTGAGTGTGATATGACTATGAGTGAATCACTTGAACAATCCACATGATATCATTCCTCTGTCTAAAGATGCATCATTGCAAATTAATTAGACCTTTTATTTGCATTTGACATTTACGTGCTTAATGTTCGGTCCTTTCATGGACATGTTATAAAAATATCAATATAGGCATATTTTTATATGCGTGTGAAACATGGACCATAACAGCAGACATCAAAAGAAGGAAACTGACAATAAGATGAGATGTTTTCGCAAACTTCTTGATATCTCGTATTGAGATCACATAACCAGTTAGGTTATGAGAACCAGTACTAGAAACTCCATGAGGGCGCTTGAAGACTTTTTGATTTCAGTGAAAAGTTGCAAAATAACGGGCACGTCACACAATCATGTGGACTAGCCAAGACTGTCCCATAGGAAACAACACACGGACGAAGATGTTGATGCAGACAGAGGAAACGACGGGAAGACAACATCAGAGAGTGACTGGAATAGTGTACTACGGACAGCTGAAAACAGTGAGGAGTGGAAGAAACTGGTTGCAAAATCTACAGTGGTGTCCCAGAGATTTGGCAGACCACGGAATAGGTCACTTCAAGGTGAAGACCATATCTGGCACCAATGAGTAGCAGTTTGGCTCTTACGGGTTGCTGGTAGAAGACGTGAGATCCATTCCTAGATGGGGAGGGTTTTTTTTACAAGTTTCTCCATCTGTTTACGAGGACATTGTATCACTCTCCGCCAGGGTAGTCTCTGAAAGGCAGAGTCGAAGCAGCCTGCCTCCTAAATAATCTGGTGGGGGGATTAAACCATCAGTAGCTACATAGTGCAGAAGGGTTAAAGAAGCCTGCGTCTTAAATTACGTTCATGCAAATTGTGTCTATTGGAGAGAAACATTTGCAAACTTATTAACAGATATTATTAAGAGATGCAAGTCTAGTTTCGTATTTCAGAATGACTTTATTTCATAATTTACGCCTGGAATATCCACAGGTCGTGTACATCCCCACATCCCGTCAGTTGCGGCGCATCGACTCCATCACTCGCTCCCCCATCTACGTGCACTTCTCCGAGACTCTGAGTGGTGCCTCCTCCATCCGGGCGTACCGCGCCCAGGACCGATTTATACGTCAATCCAAGGAAAAAGTGGACCACAACTTCAAGTTCTACTTCGCAGGAATCGCCGCCTCCACGTAAACACTTTGATTACACTTTATCATACTTGCTTTTTGGTTTTTTTAATGTAGATGTTTTAAAATCCTCTTCGACGCAATTTAGATCATTTTAGGACGCGGGCTTTCGACGCTGCCTGTCAGGGCCAACTACAGTTAAGAAGAATATAACATCCCAGCAGAAACAGAGATACTTGATAACCTACGTGCGACAGCGAAGCCACTATCCACTTCATCACAAACACCGCTGCTGTCATTGTTATTGTAAATCTTTTATGCTCTCTTATTTACTATGGGTGCTCCTTTAGGTCAGTTGGTGTCCTCCTGGATTAGAGAGCGGTTGGTCTTTGTTCGAATCCCCAACACAGTGTTTTTTAACTCGGGTTGTTGTGTAGAATGTTCAATTGTCTCGCCCTAATTAGCTCCATCTTATCGAAGGACATAAAATTAGGAGATCCTTGCATTTAAATAAACTAATTTTGTTGAAAGGGGCGTTAAATCATTACATGTGTTTTACACTCAATACACATAGATAATTAAGGAGACTGGATTCTTCGACCTTGTGGTTTCATTTTAGCGCTTGTCTTCCATTTTCTAAACGTGATTTTATTAAGAAGTATTTTATCTTTTTTTAATGCAGATGGCTGGGCTTCCGACTCCAATTGCTAGGTAACATAGTTGTGTTTGCGGCCGCCATTTTTGCTGTTGCAAGCACTGATATCGAGACGGGTCTCGTGGGTCTGTCAGTGTCCTATGCAAGTCAGGTAAGTGTGTTTTTTCAATGGATAGTAAAGTTATCTGAGATTTCGAAGTTCTGTTTATTTCTTGACTGTACCATCGCTCTATATAGATAAGCAGAGAAAAGAAAAGAGAGGCCATCAGAAGAGAGAATGGATAAGGAGAAAACATATTACCCTGTGCATCCGAGAGGTTGCAGTATATGAATGAAGCTTCAACCAAGGGGGTGGGGGTGGGGATTGCATTTCCTAGTTATATGACTATGTACTTACTTACTCTTTCATCCTCTGTTGGCGTTGAGCGTCGAGGGGAGATGCAGTTTTCTATGGTAGGCCAGCTCCGCAGCTCTTTCAGTTGTGATATTATGTTTTCTCAGGCTTTCCTTGACACCCTAGATCCACCCTATGCGTGGCCTTCCTCTTCCTTTATTGCCTGAATGCTTTGTGTTTTAGGCTCTCGAGGATGGCTGGCTAGGTGACATATGTAACAGGTGGCCAAACCATTTTATTCTCCGCCTTTTTATGTATTACAGGCAGGACTCAGTGCCGATAGCTGCTTTGACTTCTTCATTTCTCTGCCCGTCTCGTCTTTTAATGTTAAGGGTTTTGCGGAGACATTGCATTTCGCATGCAGTTATTTTGCTGTCGTGGGTTTTACTTAACGTCAAGGTCTGGCACTGGTAGCATAATGTTTTCATGAATATTGAGGTGATAAGCTGTATCCATGGAGATATTTGGATGAGATAGGTTTACATAAATTGGCTTGTTAATAGTCAGACACCTGAGGAAAATACTCAGAACATTTGTTTTCCATTCATGCTGCGAAGACCAAGACAGAACTGGCTTGATGGGGTGAAAAAGGTCCTGGAACAAAGTGCTATATCAACCACAGACGCAATACACTTAGCACAAGACCGAAACCTGCACTTCCCCTTGACATTCCAAGGATAGCACAGGAAGAAAAACGAAAAAAAAAGAAAGAAAAGAAAAATCTGTGAAGTAATGGCAGCCTATAGTTGGGAACCCAGCTGGTTGAATTGGAAGTGAACTAGTGACGTGTGCCAGGAAATTTTATAGAGGTTCAACAAATTTTAATGTGACGTATGAGCCAACAACCTGCGAGGATGTGCTTGTTTACGTTACGTTTCTGGGTTTCAAAATTCATTATAATTATCTTATACTTTGTCAGGCCGATATATTCAGATTTGGAATTTAGAAACCAAACTGGAAACAGCAAAATTGAATACCGCCTTTCTAACAACCTCACAGTGTTGCAAAGGACGTTACATTTATACTGTGGATGGTTGGTGGATGCTCTGGCGGGTGTTTTGTCCTTCTTTCCTATCCAACATCTATCGTCCTTATCTCTCCTCTTTTTTTAAGGTGGCGTCGGTGGCCTAGTTGTTAGGCTACCGGACTCGTAATCGTGAGATTGGGGGTTCGGGTGTTCGAGCGTCACCTCAGTCCGACGTTGTGTCCTTGCGAAAGGCATTTTACACGAATTTCCCGTTTGGCTTTTTCCTTTCGGAGATGGACATTTAAATACGAGGTCCCGCCTCTTAAATGACGTGATAGTGTTGATAGGTGTGTTAATCCTATACCACTTTACCTTTTTTTTATTACCTCTTTTTGTGTTTGTTACTCTCTTGAAACGCCCTCAACGAATCGGTACTTATTTGACCTTATTGTGTTGCAAGAGCCGTAAATTTCTTATTGAAACTATTTTTTTAAAAACTTTTCCCTTTTCCTTTTTGGCACCAATTCCAATATCAATACAGCCAAAATTTCGGCGTAATATTTTCAAACTATAATTTTAAGGACAATATTAAAATTTATTTATTGCGTTAACAATTTTCAGCAAGGTTGAGCATTCAGGTTTTAGAAGACGCCTTTGCAATAATTCAATGAAAACGTAACAATCATTATTAATGATTCTAAAGAAGTTTCTTTTTTCAACGACACACAGTCCCTTTTGTTTGAATCTGGGATTTCTCAAGCGTTATTTTTTTTTATTGTTGTAGTTTTTGTAAAAGGCTAAAAAGTAAATCGATTTGAATAGTTCTATTGTGTTTTACACCTGCTCCCCACGTCTTTGATACGCATGCTTAACTATGCAGCACGTCTTGTGACAGTTCTGCTCGCCGTGTTTGTTTAAAATGTTTAATGAAGGTGTTTTATGCCCCCATTAACATAACCCATGTTTGTAATATTGTTGTGCTAAAGGTCTCTTGTCGAGTCAGCTCGGGTGAATTGAAAAGTGTCTCCTTTCGCTTCAGATGACCGGAGCCCTTGAGTTCTTGGTGAACATGATGAGTGAGGTGGAAACGAACATTGTGTCAGTGGAGCGTATCAAGGAGTATACGTACACCCCTAGGGAGGTGAGGAATGGTCTGATACACCCGTTTTGGGCCCACTTTATAATCGTGCTCTATGATAAATCGATACTTCCAGTAATACACGCCATTCTGATTACAAGATACTTTCTTGCTATAATCAGAACGGCAATTATAATTTGATGTATCGATTCTTTTCCATTTTTTTGTCCTAAGCGCGATTATAAAGCGTGCCAAAACGAGTTATATCGTACGATAGAGTTCTTATGAGCTTTTTGTAGTTGTAATTTCTAAAAGTTTAGTACTGTCCTGGATAATCAATAGGCTGCTGAGCTTTCTTTGGAAGTCAGAGCTCTTCAGCTACCTGGATGAGTAAATAAAAATGAAGGAAAGATGACAGAGACACAAGACCAAAGAACAATGTCCCACGTATGCTCGTGAGAGCTGGTACTCAAGCGTTATATTTAAACATTAGACGAAATCTTACTTTAGCTGGCATGCAATTGCATTTTGCCCCCCCCCCCCCAACCTCCCCCTGCCCCCTTTTTTCCCTTCCCCTAAATGAACCAAAGACATCACAACAGCAACGAAATAACAAACTAAAAACCCAACTGGTGCATGTTTAGGTGTGCGTGTGCAGGTAAGTGTGGGTGCGTGGGGATGGGGAGGGCTCTGATGGTAATGGCCACGAACAAACACTTTCCACCTTTCCCTATCCTGGGCCATCCTCTTAATACTATTCCAAGTCTTCCAACTCTTTAGTAAGCAATAGGGTGGGGGGGGGGGGATAATACAGTATTCAATATTCAGTTCTATAAACTCTCTGACCCTTCCTTCCCAGGCCACCTGGATCATCGAAGAGAAGCGGCCTGACCCGTCCTGGCCCCAGCTTGGGAACGTGGAGTTCCAGGGCTACGAGACCAGGTACAGACCTGGCCTTGACCTTGTGCTCAAGGGACTCTCCTGTACCATCAAAGGCGGAGAAAAGGTTTGGTTTTCTGTTCTTATTTGTCACCGCTCTATACAACATTTCTGAGACAATTGTAACTCTGGTTTCGAGTTCTCATCAATACCATCTAGCATACCCTTCCAAACTAGGTCTTAGACTACTGTTTAATCTTCTTGCAGGTGAAAGAACTATTTTGACCAAGGTCTGTATGCAGTGCAGAAGTAGGAACTTGATAATTGTGATAAGGAATACTTTTAGGTTATTTTATTGAAAACTACACGTTTTTAAAAGAAACTTTCAACTGAATCATTTCTATGCAGAAAAGAATAATAATTTGAATTCAGTAATACTAATTGATTACATACTTTATGAATGTATTGAAAGCTGCAGATTTTTAAAGGCATTTTAATGTGATGGTCATGCACGGATATGAAGAACATAAATTTTAGATCAATGGTACTTATAATCTGTATACTTTGTACTCACTAGCCGTGTCGTCTGTCTGCAGATCGGTATCGTGGGCCGCACGGGCGCGGGCAAGTCTTCCATGACTGTGGCTTTGTTCCGCATCATCGAGGCGGCCGGCGGGAAGATCGTCATAGACGGCCTGAACATCTCAGACATGGGGCTACATGACCTCAGGAGTAAACTCACTATACTGCCACAGGTAGCTCATGCTGTTTGTTTGTCCGTCTGTCTGTATGTCTGACTGTTTGTCTGTCCGTCAGTCTGTATAATTTTTGTGTTTTTTCCTCGGTCT